GGGAGCAGCGGGCAGGTCAGGAGAGGTCTGCCACGCCATGTGGTCACCTCCGGGAAAGGGGGGGATGGAACTCATGCTGAAGTGGCTTAAGCTTCTTAGTGCTGTGCTTTAACCTGCTGTGCCACCAGGGAGGGCCAAAGCTGACTTTTTTTTTAATAATGTGTATATTTTCTTTGATTTTCATGGAAGGCTCAGAATGGGAGGCTCCGCATTATTGATTACAAAAAGTAGGTTGAAGAAGATTGTGAGAATTTCATGACCAAAACCAGAAACCAAGAAAGGTTTTGAAATGAATGATTTCATTTACTCAAAGGCCCAAACCAGACAAATGTAATTGATGTTATTAGGACTCAGGATGGTAGACTTTGGGGAGGCAGGAAGTTGATGAGGTCATGGGGCTTTTGGGGTGATGGACACGTAGATTTACCGATGTGGGGTCTGGTGCTACCAGTGTCTTCAGACACTGAGTATATATACACTTTGCTGTGTAGACATCATGCTCCAACTAAATAAGAGCTTGAAGCGAAAAGCCACAAAATGATGTAAAAATAAGCTATTATAATTAAAAAAAAAAAACAAAAACAAAGCGAACATCACCAAGTAGTATAGGACAAACTATTATTGTTAGCCTGAATCATTCTTATGACATTACTCTGAAAAGTGAGTAATCTGAACCTCTTCACAAGGAAACACCTGACAAACTCAAGTGAGATTCCATGCTCCCTAACCAGCCTATGCACCCCAAACCTATATCCTGGGAGTCTGGGTGGATTGGCCAAGAGAGTGCAAAGAATGATTGGTAATTTTTTGTTATAAAAGACAACCTAGGGCCCACTGGCAATATCTGAATAAGATACATTGATTAGATAGTGACCGGAACAACGTTAATTTCCCAGCTTTGGTTCTCGTGAATGCCCTTGTTTTTAGGAAAACAGTTAGAAATGTATATATGTGGAGAGAGAGGGCATGAGAGAGAAGATGAGGAATCTGTGGGGTCACTGTATTATTCTTTCAACTTTTCTGTATGTCTGAAATTATGCTAAAGTAACAGAACTTTTTTTTACAAATTTTGGGGGCCAAGGGGCCATGGGCCTGGCACCCTAAACGTTGGCCATTCCTTTCTCTGGTCCCAGTCCACAATGTGTCCGACCCCCTTTTCCTTCCTAGGCCCAGTGCTGTCTGGACTCCCTCCCGGTATCTCTCCTCCGCCCGTTGCCACTCCTTTTCCCTCCTCACCCCCTGGCAGCTCCACAGGGATCGTCCCTCCTTGCACCTCTAGCCCTGCCCCCTCTACTCCAGACCTTTTTGGGCTCCCCATGGGCCCTGGGAGAGCATGCCAGGCCCTCCAGGACTCCAGCCCCTGCCCCGCTTTCAGCACCACAAGCACATCTGCACCTGCTCTCCCCTCTGCCTCCAATGTGCTGTTCAGGTCTCTGCCTTAGAACACCAATTGGAGCTGAATTTCAGGTGAGCCAGAGCCCCCCTTTTCTCTACCTGCACAGCCCTTGCTCTGCCCTCGTCAAACCTTCACCTGCCCGGCACCCAGGTCCCTCCCCACATCCTGTGCTGGACCCACCCCCATGGGAGCAGAGATGACCCGGCAGTCTCTCAGTGGTGGGTGAAAGGCTTTATTAATCAATGCAAGGACGATTGTCACGTAGGTGGCTTTGGTGGCTGGGTGAGGACGAGAGGCGATACTATATAAGCTGCAGCCAGCACCTGCCCTTAGCAGCAGGAGCTGGAGAGAGGAGGCCGTGTCACCTCCAGCAGGCTGTGTGCTGATTTTAAAGGCCTGGCAGTGAGGTGCATGTGTGGCGGAGGCCTGCAGAAGAGGTAACGCCGAGAGGGCAGCTCTGCCCACCTCTGATTATTGCTTGAGTCTTTCTGGCAGTGCCAGCTGCCTGCCCCAGAGAGCTCAGGTCTCGTCCATCACAGTGTAAGCTCAGGGCGGGCTCACCGCCACTGCCAGTGGGGAAGACAAGAAGAGGTTCCCAGAGGCCTTTGGAGCGTGGAGAGCAGAGGCAGCGCCAGGCTCGGACCACGCTGGGCTCCTGTCCCCCGGGCAGCGAAACGAAGTCCCCAACTTGAGGACCCTGTGTAGAACCTCCAGGGTGGCCAAGGAGCAAGCTGACTGAAGGGGGTCCACAGCACCCCCAGGCAGGGAGCCTCAATGGTTTGGTGTCTGCTGAGCATGGAAGCCCTTGGGAAGGTGGTGTCCTCGTGGGCCATTCAGGCCTGGAAGGAGGCCTTGACCACACGCCCCTTCAGTGGCTGAGGTGGCCGAAAATTGTTCACCATGTGGATCCTCTCATCATCCTCTGAGGTGAAGAGCAGGCTCCGGAACTTCTCCATCTTGAGGAGGCAGAAGAGACACTTAGGGCAGAATGGGTGGGGATGGGGGTTCCTTTTTGACCCCTGACAACATCCTCTGCTTCTCCCTCCTCTTGCTATCCTAGGCCTTCCTCCACACGCCATCCCTCTTTGGGACCCCAACCTCAGTTACATGCTCTGGACCGTGGAACCTGGCTCCCACCCTCCGCGATTCCAGTTCAGAGTCTAACACAATAGGGGAGTTCCCAGCATCAGAGGGTCTCCCCTCTCAGCCTAGGCCAAGAGGATTAACCAAGTCAGCGCCCAGCCAAGACTACATGTTTACATGTTTGTTAGCCGTGACTGTGGGACCGCCGGCCGTGGGGGCTGTAGAGACAGCCTCGCCCCAGGGGACCCTCTACCTGTGCTCTGGGAGGACTCACCTGCCTCTCAGAGATCCTGATGGGCTCCCGGAGCACAATCCAGGTGACGCTCTCGCTCAGTGGGGGCGTCGTCAGGGAGCCTGGGTAGGTCCAGTAGTGCCAGCTGGCAGGCAGAAGGCACTTGGGGTTGAAGCAGCTGAACTGGGCCTTGGTGTCCTGGGTGCAAGTAGGGGAAGGCAGGCTTCAGTGTACCCCCGCCCCCCAGGAGGGACCAGCAGGCTCCCCACCCTGTTTGGTCAACAAGATTTGCACATCTCCATGGCCTATAGATGCAAATCCTGGGCGGTCTGCACTCCCCCACGCTGTCTCCCAGCCGCACGGGCCCTCCACTCGTGGGCGTGGAAAAGCTGGGGCTCCTGGAGCTCTTTGGTCACCCCCAGGGGTGCCATGAGCAGGTTGGCTGAAGGGCGTCCACAGGACCTGTCTCCTGCCTTTTTTTTTTTAAGATTTTTTTTTATGCATACAGAACTGGGGTACAGGCCAGAGGTGCAGAGGTGGTGAGAGGGTTCACCAGAGACAGTGGGGAGCAGAACAGGCAGATGAAGTACACTGCTGAGGGGAGCCGCGGACAAGTCAGAAGAGGTCTCCAACCATGTGGTCACCTCCAGGGCGGGCATCGAACTTGCACTGAAGTGGCTGCGGCCAGCTTGCAGTGCTGCGTCCTAACCCACTGTGGCACCAGGGAGGGCCAGTGTTTCCTGCCTTCTGTACCCTTAGTGACATTGCCTATGAGACGAACATTGACGCCGCCATAATCTTATCAATCCTACACCCACTAGAATGCAGGCTCGGCACTCAGCTGGGCCGGTGACCCTGATAAAGGGGACTCAGCAGCGGGGGCTGACCTGGACCCTCCATCTCGGAGAGGCTTTGCTGAAGGACAGAGGTGTGGCTGGGCCCCTCCATGGTCTGGCCTCTAGCTCCCTCCCCACCAGGCTGCTCTGTGTCAGGGGCCTGCACCTCTGTTCTCACCTTAAATCGAACCATGTAGAGTGCATCCGTCAGGCGGTTCATGCTGGGGTGCTCGTCCCCGGTCTGCCAGGGAGAGGGTCGTGTGAGCCCAGCGCCCACTGGGTTCTGGAGCTCCGGACCCTCCTCACCCCGATAACCACCTCTCACCTCCAAGAAGACACCGACCACAGCCAGGCCATCGGGCGCCGAGGCCGCCTCCCCGAAGGTGCTGTACTTCTTGGCGTTCCAGTGAACCAGGTGCAGCTGTTGGGTGGTGGTGATCACGGCTTAGCACCTCCAAGGAGCAGTGGGAGCTGATGCCAGGCCACTTCCCGACACACTCCCGGCCCCTCTGCAGAAGGGGTGGGCTGTCAACCCGCCCAGGGCGGGGTTCCTGGGGAAGCCGGGGACTCCCCCAAAGGCCACAGATAGCACCTACCCTACACTGGGCCCAATATTTCCTGAATCCCAGGGGACCCAAAGAGGGATCTGCTTGGGCTCTACCCTTCATGAACGGTGAAGTAGATAATGGCCACCCAATATGACACCATCCTGAGGGTGTGGCACCCACTGTTGAGTCCAAAGGATAAGTATAGATTTATCATCCAGGCAAATCATCCAGGCAGAGAGAACAGCATAGGCAAAAGCTGAGAGGGTAAGCAGAAGCCAGGTGTGGGCAGGGGAATTATCACCTGCAGGTCAGAATGGGAAGCGAGAAGGGGAAGGCCAGGCAAGGCCAGTTCCTGCAGGCCCTGGGTGCCAGGCTCACCCCTTGAACGGTTATTAGCCAGAGTGGGGTGGGGTTGGATCTGCCCTTTAGAAAACTTCTAGACACACAAACCAGAATGGCAGTGGGCAGAGCTCAGGTGGGAGACCCCGTGCTGGGGGTGGGTATCTCTCCCAAAGTCCCCTGCGTGCTTCTCATCCTCTCCAGAGCCCCCTGCTGACATCCCACAAGCCCCTGGCTATCCAGGGCCCCGGCTGGTAAGGAATTCAGGTGCCAGAGGGTCTTACCTCGCTGGGGAATGACCTGCCATCCACTGTGTGCTCGGAGCCCACGCCATGCTTCTTGCCCCAGTGGAAATGGAACTGCTTGAGCCGGTAGGGCCCGTCCAGGGGGCCCCCAGTCACCACTGCAGGAAGAAGTAGGGCATGTAGCAATTGGCGTGTGAGGGCCCACGCCACGCCCAGGCAGCGGAGCCAGGCTGAGGGTCGGGGTCAGGAGGGGGACACAGTTTCCATTTTGAAAATTCGCTGGCCTCAGAGAGCTAGGGGTTAGCCACCACCCAGCTGGGCCCAGGCAGATTCTTAGCTGGGCCCAGGCAGAAATCCTGGCAGCCCGTAGGCAGCAGAGGAAGCTGATGCTGCAATCTATCTCTCCATCTGGCCAGTCTCTCCATTCCTGCCCAGTTCTGCATGCGAGCTGGGACCTTGCCTACCAGCCCCTACCTGGCTTCCATTACCACTAACAAGAGGCTCCATATCTGGGTTCCTGACCCAGAGCTGAGTCAGGGGATTATCTTGTTCAGTCTTCATTGTAGCCCACGAGGGACAGAACTTAATATTATCTCTGTTTTACCAAGAAACTAGCACAGAGAGAGCAAGGCATTTGCCCAAGGTCACACAGCAAGGCACTGAGCTAGGGTTTAAGCCCATATTTCCTTCCTAAGTCCAGAAAGAGACAGAGCTGTCACACTGTGTAGCTGGAAACTTGATTCTCCCCAGGACCAGGCATTGTCTAGAGCCAGCTCCTGAGGCCCCCTGCTCTGAGGGCTGGGTCCAAGTTCCCTGAGTGTCCCTCCCAAGTCTTTTTGGAAGGTCCCACTTGTGCTAGTTTTGTGACTTTCCCACCCTGATACCTGGGAAGCTGGGGCCACGCGTGAGGCCTCCTGGGACTGATTAAGTTTCTAACTGAAAGGGATCTGGCAGTGGAGGGAGCCCCAGCAAGGCCTGAATGTGAGCCCCTGGATCAGGTGACGGCCCAGAGCTCAGCGTTCCACTAGGCCCCTCTAGGATGGATGACCAGGGCAGGGCCTTGAGGTTGTGGAGAAGGGATAGTCCAGAGGCCCCTCCTGTCCTGCCTTAACTGAAAAGCAGGATCTGCTCATGGCCATGTTGGACAGTTGACAAGGGAAATCCTGGAGGGAGGGTTTGCTGGGCAGGGTCCCCATCAAACCGCTCCATCCTGGGGAGGGAGAAGCAGGTGGGCCTGCAGGCTGAGCTCCCTCACGTGAGCTAGGAGCACCCCCCCAGGACCTAATAGTGTGGTCCCTCAGCGTGCACGCCCTTAGTCTCCCCTCCTTCTTAACAGAACACACTGCTATTCATTTGCACTCACGATGGGCTCAGCATTCTGCTGGCATCAAATCCAATTCCATGGTGACCCTCAGGGGGATACACTATTGCTGTCATTGGACAGATGTGACACTGAGCCTCAGAAAGGAGGGCATCCTGCCCCAGGCACACAGCTGCTGTTGTAGCAGGCCTCCCTGCCTCGCCTCCAACCTTGCCCTCTTTCTGCTGGCTCCCTTAACTCAGACCTGGCTATCTGGGTGGGGAAGGGAGTCCCAGAGGGGCCTGAGCTCCTGGCTCAGTGCCCTAGGTAGGTCCTTCGTGGCCCTTCCCCCACAACAGTGACCTTCACTGAGTTATTGATATTTGAGTTGAGGCCTTGGTGACCTCCCAAGGCCACTAAAGGTACACCCTGTCATGTAGGGTTATTCAAAGTCCATGTCCCTTTTCAAAGGTCTGGGTCAGAGACTTCTGAGGAGCTGACAGATTTCCCCTATTCTGCAGCAAGAGCTTATCTGATCCACTTTCTCTTTTTTCCTAGCCTACTGGGAAACTCAACACTAAGTAGCTAACACCCCTCTTAATGAAAGGTCTGACTTCCCTTCCCTTTTCTGGCTCTTGGTATTCTATTTGAAACTTAAGTTTCCTGGAGTGCTTTCATTGTTCAGGGTGGGGAGAAAAGGACACAGACCAACCATGTCCCAACCCAAGAGACTCTAGCAGGTTCCCTACTCATCCCATTCCACCTCCACAAGCCTTATCATGAGGACAAAACCCCTTCACTGATGAATGTGTCTGAGGATTCTAGAACACAGATTCTAATCCTGGGGCAGAGACCATGGAAAGGCTGGCTGCAAGTTCCTGCTGGCCTGTCTCTGGTTGGGCTCTTGAAGTCATGGTAGGTTGAAGAGAGGACTTTTAGGGTTGTACCAGTCTGATTCTGGCACTCCCCAACTCACTGTCTCTGCGTGCCCATTTAGAGGTAAATTCTTTAGATGAACCGAAGAGCTGTCTGAGAGCTTAGTAAGGGTGCTGGCATGCAGGACATTTTCACTCCCTTCTTGCTCTAGTGGGCTTGGACAACTCACACAGATGGGAGGGCTTTGCCTTAGGCCATACAGCAGGCCAGTGATGGACCGGGGAATGAAAACTACCCAACCTAAAGCACTATGGGAGAGAAGGAAGAATTAGCCTTTGTTGAGCATCTGCTATATGCCAGCACTACCTCACTTCAATTTTTCCTTTTTCCTCTCTAGCACCCTGCAAAGGAAAACAGGACCTCTTACTTCCATTTTATGCATAAGGAGACTGAGGCTCAGCCTGCGGCTTTGCAGCCAGTGGGTGGTAGAGCGTTCCTTCCCTACAACAACATGCTGCCCCTCCAACCTGCCCAACTCAGGCTCAGGACCCCTGTGCCAGAAGGCCAGGTTCTGCAGGGGGTCACTTACCAGTTCGATCATCACTGTCATTGAAGTCCACTTGGACTGAGTGGCCATTGTTGGTGATGCTGAGGGACGTGCAGGCCTCGTAGGACAGCTCCAGTGGCTTCAGGCTGGGTGAGTACACAGCCTGGCTGGACACGATATTGATTGGTGACTGGCGGTTCCCCTGGGCAATGGGGTATAGCTTGTGCCACTCTGAGGGGCCTGCAGGCAGGGAGAGGACAAGGACTCGGGCTAGCCTGGAGCCCCGGGCTATAGGCAATAGCACCTGTCTCCTTGTCATTCCTTCAGAGGTCAGCCCATGGTTTGGAGCTGCTTGGTCTGGAGTTCTAATCCCAGCTCTGCTGCTGCTTCTCTCAACTTCATTTTCCTTGTCTGCAGAATGGCCTCATTAAAACTTACCTCCCTTGGGCCCTCCCAATGGGTTAAAGCACACACTGCAAGCGAGTCACAGCCACTTTCGTGCAAGTTCGATCTCTAGCCTTGGAGGTGACCACATGGTGTGGCAGACCTCTCCAGACCCGCCCGCTGCTCCCCTCAGTAGTGTACTTCTGCAATCTGCTTGTTCAGCTCCCTACTCGTCTCTGGTGAATCCTCTCATTGCCCCTTCACCTCTGGTCTGCACCCCAGTTCTGTATGCATAAATAAATAAATGTTTTTTAAAAAACTCACCTCCCAGAGCTCATAGGAAGCCTAGGGAGGTCACGTGTGGAAGGAAGCATAATGCAGCTACAGGCTCAGGGGCTATTCCGGGCAGTGAGCACCCCCCACTTCCCAATACATGCTCAGAGAGGCCCCCAGGGTCTAGAGTCCCTGACCCAACCTCTAGGTGCCTTGCTCTTTGGGCATGTTCTGTGTGTCTTAACAGCAAGAGCTAACAGCAACCTAGTTGGCTTCATGACATGCTCTGCTCTTCACAACCACCTTGTGGAGGAGAAACCAGCCTGACCCCCATTTCACAGATGAGGGAATTGATGCCTGTATCCACGTATCTCGGGCACAGAAACACACAGGATGTGAGGCACTGCCCCCACCTGCCCTTCCCAGGCATGTCCCTACAGATCTATAGTCTCACACGTGTCCGCGGACCTAGGCGCACCAGGCCCAGAGCGGCTAAACTCAGCAACACAACTGTTTGCAGACAGCCCTGCCAGCACCTGATATTTGCATATGTACCTGACACACAAATACCCCATCGCAAACCCAGGCCTGCAGGAAGGGGCTCCAGCAAACGCGCTTGTGAGCACACACACACACCTGTGAGCACACCCACGGGCGCCCACCACCTGCCTCCCAGGGACTCCATCTGCAGCCGAGACGCTCGGCATCTCCCTAGGGAACATCCTAAGATGCAGCCTATTTTTAGTGCTATTGCTGGCTGGTGCTTCTCCCCGTTTTTGGCTTCTTAAGTTTTCCAGAGAAAACAGCAGCAGGTGCTGATGGAACTGTGTCCCCAGTGGATGACTCAGAAGTGTGGCCCAGACCCACTGGGTTATTTTTGAAGTCCTGTGAGCGTGCAGCACGCCGACACCTCTTGCCTGTCTTTCCCTCCTCACCCTGTTGGACCAGCCAGGTCTGGCTGGGGAAGGGCAGTGACCTAAGGGTACTGGACAATGCGAGATGGGAGCCAGCTGGTGTGGGGAACTCTGATCTGGGGGGCTGGGAGCACCGAGAAGCTGGCTTAGAGCAGGTGCCGGGGGAAGATGATCTTCTATGGGTTTCATCAATCTGCCTCTTTCTCCATCTTCTGCTGGTCTGTTACCTGTTTCTGAGTGTCTCTGGCTCCGCTTTGGCATGCCTAGACCTGGGGTTCTCAACCTTCACAACATACTCCGGTGTCCTTGGGGTCTCAGCCAGGGCCGGGGACAGCGCAGCACTTCCTTAACTCCCTCTGGCCCGCTGAGCCCTCCTGGCCCCCAGACTGTAGTCCAGGACCCCTGCTCACCCTCAGCATGACCACCTCTTTCAGAAGAGTGACAAAGGGGTGTGTTCCTACCACCAGCATGTCCTTTTCTCCCCATCCCACATGCCCTACTTCAGCTGTAAAGAAATAGCCCAGAGGATAAGAAATAACCCGGAATGTGTTTCTTGGTAAGAAACAGCCCCAAAGGGAACTGACCCATACTCAAGCCCCCTGGCTCTGGTTTTCCCATTCCTCTAAGGAAACTGAGGCAGATCAGGGAGCTATTTTCCAGTCCAGATGAGGAGGCTGGAGTGGGCCACTAGCTCCCACACTCCCACGCCCCCAGCCTTGGTTCGGACCTGCCCAGACACCTGTCTATGTAGGCATCCAGACACTGGAGTGCGCCCCCAAATACTCCTGCTCTCACACACCTGCCAATACGACAACTCGGACACTTCTGCGGGGAAGCTCCCCCCAGAGACACTGCACCCTTGCCCACGCGGAGTCGTGCTCTGGGGCGCTCCGGGCACACACCGTGCGCGCTCCCCCACATACGCCCACGCACAGCGCTCCACCGCGGCCGCCCCCCGCCTCCTGACGCCCTGGGCCACCTCTAGTCCTTGCGCTCCAGACCCAGGTCTGAGCGAACACTGGGGCTTCGCGGAGGAGGAGGCAAGACGCGCTCAGTCGGGTCTCTTGCTGGCGGCGGGGCCGGCCGGGGCGCAGCTCGGACTTTGCGCCGGGCGCTGGGGAACCAAGGATCTCAACGGCAGGTGGGTCGGGTTTCGGGGTCTGGGTAAGAGTGGGGTCCCGGTCGGGCCTGAAGGGTGGGAGCTCGCGGGTCGGGGAAACTGGCTGGGCGGGAGGGTCGGGGCGAATCCGAGCGACTGGAGGCCGGCTGGGGGCTGTGCCTACCGTCGTTCTGGCCGTAGCCCCAGCCGTGGTGGCCGGTCATGCCGCTGCTGTCCCCCGCGGCGGTACACCTGCCCGCTTGGCTCCGCGAGGCTCGTTCAGGCTGCGGCTCCGGCCCTCCGTCGCAGCGGAGCCTCTTAAAGCGGCGGCAGGCGGGAGGAGCAGTCCCCGGGAGACCCGCCCCCCCCAGCCCCCAGCAGACCTGAGGCCAGCCCTGCCCCACCCCCTGCCGGCCTGCCGGCCGGGGAGCCAGCACCCCAGATGAGAGGTCAGGGGGCCCACGTGAAACTCTGCCCTCACCCCACCCCCATCCTTTTCTCCTACACGTGTCCGCGCTCCCGGGCTGGAGAAACCACCCATGCTGCTGACTGCCCCAGTTTCAAACGGGTCCCCTCCCCTCCTCAGGCTCTCCCAGGAGTCCTAAATCCCACCAAGTGGGGGGTGGGGCGGGGCCGAGGCCTCTGGGATTGGAGAGTCCCCTTGAAGCTACCCATCGCTCTGACATCACGCTCCAGAGGTGGTACTTCTGCTTGCCAGATAGTGTGGCAGGCACTGGGCCAAACTTTGGGTCCTTTGGTCAGCTAAGTTTCCCTACCAAATCGGGGGTGGGGGGGCACTCCTATTACAGCCCCATTTCACAAACAGAGGTGAAGTGACTTACCGTAGGTGAATGGGGGATTTGCTTCCAATATCTCACTCCAGGCACTGCTCTCCATCACTTCCCCTTGGTGCTGGGGGCTAGGAGCTTTGTGGATTTGGGGTCAGGAGGCCCTGGGTGGTGGCCAGACAGACAAGCTGAGCTTCTGTCCAGAAACAGAAACTCCTTAAAGGGGGACTGAGGAGGGCTGAGGAGACGTAGCATCAAAGGGTGGCAGTGTGGACGTGCAGACCCACGGACACAAGCTGGCCTCCGGTGTCCTTCCAGGTGTGCGGTCCTGTCTCCCACTCCTCAGTGTCTCATGGCGCTCTCCTTCCCGTCAGCATCCTTTTGCCTGACTGTCTATACCTGCGATTTTAGCTTCCTTTCCTTGCTTCCCATGGCCCCCAGCAGACCTGAGAGCCGGGAGCTCAGCCCCTGCACTCAACCTCAGTGTCCTCCTTGGCTCAACATTTTTCCACCCAAGAGCCCTGGTCCTTGCTGTGTCCTCCACCTGGTACGTCCTCTGCCTTCCACCCACTGGCTCCAGCCAGCCCATTCTGATTCATCTCAGTATATGGCCTTGTGCCAAAGATAGGGCTTGTCTCTGGCGAGGCTTCAGCAGTTTGGGGAAGACAAGCAGATGGGTGGCTGGAAGGACAGGCACATGATCCCACCCAGTGGCCTGTACCCCACAGAAGTTGAGAGTTTGCTGGTACAACCCTGATCAGAGGGAGGCTGTGTCAGACCCTGCTTTTGGTTGATCTTGTGAAGAAATGTGCTATGCTCTTTTTCTGGCTCTCCTATCTCTGTGCCTGCCTCAGTTTCCTTTTCTCAGGCACTTAACCTGCTCTCCAGGTAGGGTTGTAGCACCTGATGGCGATGAGGACATGCAGACCCTCAGATACGTGTTGGCTTTCTGGTCGAACCAAGCTGGCTGGGCCAAGGTCAGCCAATGACTTCCCAACCCCACCCAGACACCCCTCAGGAATTGGAAGGGGCTCTTACATAAATCTGACTCTAGGACAGGGCAGAGGAATTAAATCACATCAAATAAATAAAAATTGGAATTATTCATAGAGTTTTGCATCTAGTTTCATCTACACAGCAGCCCTGGGTTGGGGGTTATCTCACTTTATAGGCAAAGAAAGAAAGACTCAGCAGAATTGCCTTATAGCACACAGTAAACGACAGGGCAACAACAAAAACCCAGGAGTTCTGAGTTCCTTATTCAACACATCACTGGGGGGTGGCGAAAGTAAATTTTAAATTTGATTGTCATTTGCGTGTATATGCCACTTCCTCTGGTAGGACTTAAGAGAAACTAGGGAAAGTATTTGCCTCCAGGGAGGAGACTGGGAAACGATAGGGGTGGGGAGGTTGCAGAATGGAATGGGAGGGACTCTTTTTACTGCCTACTCCTTTGTACCTTTCCAAAGAATTGAGTGAGTATTGCCTCTTTAACAATCAAATAAAAGTTGATCTAATTCTTTCCTTCCTGCAGCCTCTTTTCAGCTATTTTCTTAGAGAGCTGGAGTGCTGGGAACTCAGGCAGGTGAGAAGGAGCCCTGGGAGTCTGCCTGTCTCAGGTGAAGCCCTACCGCCCCAGGAGCCCACTCAGGTCAACCTGGGAAAGCCGGTGACCCCATTCAGGCGCCTCCTGTCTCAATTACGTGCTGTCTATGAAGAGGAATTGATTTCCTGCTCAAGAGTTTTACTGTTTGGTCTCACTGGCGTCATTGTTTCTGGATTGCACTGTTTATAGAGGAGGGGGAGCACAGGGATGTGAAGGCTCTGATGAAAGGCTGGGTGGGGGGGCAGCAGCAGCTCGCCAGCCACACCTCGCTTATTAAGTGGCCTTGGCCAGGTCACAGTTCCCTTTTCCAAGGTACAGTCCTCTGTGACTGACACAGGTGATGGGGGAAATTGTCACTGCCTTGCTTTCCTCACGAGGATCCCTGTGAGCATCAGCTGAGGCAACAAATGTCCAATGCTGCACCAACAGGCAGAATCATGTCTGCTCTTCACCACATGTTATGCATATGACCAACAGGACCGGCCAAGAACCCTGAAGCTCGGAGACTCTTAGGTCAAAAGTATAGTTCCGTGTATTTTTTTAAAAGATTTATTTATTTGTGCATATAGAACTGGGGTACAGGCAGAGGTGCAGGGGTGGTGAGAGGATTCACCAGAGACAGAGTGGGGAGCAGAACAGGCCGACCGACGAAGTACACTGCTGAGGGGAGCAGCGGGCGGGTCAGGAGAGGTCTGCCACGCCATGTAGGTCAGCTCCTGGGTAGTGGGGATCAAATTCATGCTGAAGTGGCTTTAGCTTCTCAGTGCTGTGCTTTAACCCACTGCGCCACCAGGGAGGGCCCAGTTCCATGTTTGATTGCTTGTTTGTTTTTCAGTTCCATGTAGTTTTAAAGAATATTTCCACTCAAGGGCCTCCACTAGGGCCCGGATTTGACCCCTGGCCAAGGAGCTAACCTACATGTGGCTCAGCAGATCTCTCCTGTCTCACTGGCTTCCCCTTGGCAGTGTGTTTCAGTCCATCCACCTGCCTTGCTCCCACTCTGTCTCTGGGGAATCCTCTTATTAGGGGAAAGGATGGCCTGTACAAACTCCAAAAATAGGTTTTATGGACCCCCCCCCCCAGGCCAAAGATATCCAAGATACCAAAAACTGCAAATCCCACAATGTCATCACCACAAAAGGGAGGATAGCTGGGACTTGAGGGTGGAGTTAAGTAGCCACGTCTGGTAGAAAGCCAGATATGTGGGCCTTGGGGGTCTCTTGGTTTTTGCCTGCTCTCAGTGTGCTACTGGAATTCCCTCTGAGCCGAACTGGGAGGACGCAGTCACCAGTTTAGCTCCCTCTCTTTCTCCTGAGTTATTCATTTCTTCATTTATCCTTCTTTTGCAAATAAACCTTTCATTAACTTTTTGTGTGTGTGCCTGCAGTTGAGTCTTACTATAAGTCCCTTTTGGGCACACGGGTGAGGACCCACAGCCAGGCCAGCCCATTTCATATTGGTGTTGCCCCGTCACAATTTGGTGGCTGATCACGTTACACCGCCGTTGAGCAACTCAAAGGAACTTTCCTTGTGCTGGTCACCGTAAGCACACTAGCCCTGTGACACTCTCACCCCGCACCTCTGGCCCAGTTCTTCTATGCAAAAATAAATAAAAAACCTTTAATAACAACAACAAAAATTTCCACTCCAA